GCCTATTAACTATACGTTTTTTGTCTCCTGCCTCAATGAGTACCAATTAATTACAGGTTTCCACTTGTGTCTCTATGAGTGCCCATTAACTGTGGGTTTTTGTCTCCAGCCTCTATTAGTGATTAGTGCCCATTAACTTCTTTTAACTTTTGTCTCCTGCCTCTATGAGTGTCCATTAACTCATTTTTGTCTCCTACCTCTATATTTGTTATTTTCATTCATTCTTTGGCTTCTTCGTCAAACTTTATGTCTTCATTCGGTAGGTGGCGCTAGGTGTTGCATGCGCATTCGCAACACAGAAAAAATGGCGACTAATTACGGAGTGTACTCTGAAAGAAAAATGCACTGTTGTGTTTTTTTTATGGGGGGGGGGGGAAGAGAGAATAATGCCTGCATATAAGTCATAAATGTTTATCCCGTAAAGCGGTGCACAGCTGGGTAAAAAAAAAAAAACATTTCTCAACATGTCCACCCCCCCCCCCCCCCCCTTCCTTCCTTACTCCCCAATACCAAACGTTCACCCCTGGGGTCCGGGGTAGACAAGACGGGTTACCTGAATATCTTGAGAGAGACCAGTTTTCTTGTAGATTATGAGAATGGAAACATGGGAATACATTGTAACAACTGGGAAATGTGTACAAAAGCTAAATGAAGAGAGAAATAGAGGAGATAGAGATACCATGATAATAATACTGCCCCAACTTTCATGTGTACATTGGTGATTCTGTATGTGCCAGGTTGAATGCAGTGGTATGTAAATGAAAAGTCAAACTAAAGAACCATTTCTCACACCTTCAGACGTATTGGTCACATAGAACTAGACCTAGATTTTCTAGACCGTCACTCAGCGGGTGAGGTGGTCAACATGTATGCCGCCTTTACTTCCCACGACTTTACCTAGTACCCATTTAAGGCTGCGTCAACCTGGGGGCCAAGGTCATTTTTAACAAATCTAATAAAAAGTCCAGCTTCACCAGGGCCTGAACCCAGGACCTGCAGATCCGTAGGCGAGCGTCTCGCCACTACACCACGGCAGCTCATAATGCTGATTGTGTGAGTGATACTAATGTGATAATGTTAACTGCATGAATGATACTAATGTGATAATGTTAACTGCATGAATGATACTAATGTGATAATGTTAACTGCATGAATGATACTAATGTTAACTGCATGAATGATACTAATGTGATAATGTTAACTGCATGAATGATACTAATGTGATAATGTTAACTGCATGAATGATACTAATGTGATAATGTTAACTGCATGAATGATACTAATGTGAAAACTGAACTATAACTGTGACTGATCTACTTTCAGATGGACGCCTACTGTCTGGGGGTGGTTCTGTGGGCCTTGCTGATGGAGAGAGACCCCGATGATGGCATTGACTATTTTTTCGAGGCCAGGAGGAAACAACGTCTGCCGACACACCTCAGGTATTGATTGTTGTCTCTATCATCCTGTCTATTTGTATCTTTAACACAAAAGCACTCACAAGTCAGAAGATCAACAATGTGTATTATTTCTCCAAACTTGGCTTTAAATTTATCTTGTATCCAAACTCGACATTGAGATCTGACTGTTTGTATTCTGACCATTATATAGCTAGCACTTTACTTTGCCTGAAAACTCTCCATCCTTTATCAGTTCCCTCATCCATGCCCAAGCTAGTGTGTCTCAAATATCCTCCATCCATCACCATGGTTGTTGACCTCTGCCTCGAACCATTCAATAAATGACAAAAGGCAAAGTGTGCTGTTGTCTTCTTCTCTTTCTACAGCCTTCTATCTCCACAGGCCCTCAGTCAGTTGCGTCACACCCTGTGATGACTTCATGATTAGGTGGAACCGCAGCTGAAGTTATACAATACCAGTTAGTCAATCCCATACCAATCCTCCATATCAGCTCTTATGGCATGCTTGTTATCATAGTATTACTATATTTTATTCTAGTTATCAAAGTATTACTATATTGTATGCTAGCTATTATATCATTAATATTTGTTGCTTCCCCAATCGAGGCCAGGTAACACGCGGACAAACTGGTATTGTGCTTTATATAAAAATACCTTGCCAGATTTCTTCAGCACAGTCAGGGCAAACTTAAAAACTAATTGTCATTTCCCATCCTGCATGGGTTCTGGGGTTGGGGTGGGCACATTGCCCCCTTTACAAGCATGTCTTAGTGGTTGACTGATTATGTAGGTTTTCTTTGTAGACCACGTGCCTGAGACTCCAGAGACCAGCAGTCTGCATACAACTAGACCAGATCTGTAAAACAGATGTGCATGCAAAACATCAGTTCTGGAAGAGAAAGTGAATAACAACCAGAACTTTCCACCAGGGTTTACAATTAGTGAACGCTAACATGAGGTTTGTGAGACAACCAAACTTGTTCCAGTGGCCCAGGAGGTCAAGAAAAGATGCTGGCATTGGATAGGACACATGCTGAGAAAATCTGAGAACCCACAGGGGCATAGAAATAAAGAAGAAGATAAAACATAGGGAACCAAGTTAGAGAGTGAAGTTAAAAACAGACTGGGAGAGCTGCATGTGATAGTAAAAGATAGAACCACTTGGCGTGAGTTGGTTGTGTGCCCATGATCCATTGGCCGATCGAAGACAGAAAAGAAGAATAGTAAAAATTTATGTAGAAGAATAGTAAAAAAAGATGTTAATTTTCTTAAAATTTATGTATCTGCTTGTTACGGTAACATGTTTCCTGTAAAAAATGTTACAACTTGTTGGCAGCGACATGTATTCTGTATAAATGTTGTTACTTGTTGATAGCAACATGTTTTCTGCATAAATGTTGCAACTCGACAGCGACAAGGTTTCATTATAAATGTTATAAGTTGATGACAGAAACATGTGTTCTACATAAATGTTCTTAACTCCTGTTTTTGATTTCCTCCACAGGGAACTTTTACTCAAACTCCTGGACAAAAGCCCCAGCAGAAGGATAACAGTTGCGGACTTCCTCAAACGGTTGAGACGGGACTCTGTCCACCGGCGCATTATTGACAGATATTAGAACTGTGTGTGTGTGTACAAAATGTATGTTGTGAGGTGTCCAGTTTACATACCCTTCCTTGTTCATTTCAACGTTTAACCCGTAACTAGTCTAAGAAATGTTTATCTGCCAACTTGTTTTACAGCTTTCTTCAGTTATTTTAATTTGTGTTATCTTCATCAGCTGTTTTATTAGTTCCTTTGTATGAAACCTGCGGCCTTTTTGCAGTTTTATACATTTCAGAAATAAATAAGATATATATATATACTTTTCCTGGAACTTTGGGAAGTGGATAGTACATCTTCACTTCTCAGACAAGGTCAAAAACTTACTGAGAGCATTACAAAATCCTTGACAGTTGGAAATCAAAATTTGTTTGGCACTAGGACGGTGATGTGGTCAAAATCATGCAGGCCGCCTTTGCTTCCCAGGACTTTACCTGGCACCAGTTTTAGATTTAAAAAAAAAAGTCTGACTCTAGATCTGAACCCACAACCTTCAGATATGTAGGCGAGCATCTAGCCACCACAATATGGAGGCTTCATCCCCCCCCCCATCTGTAAATATATATAGTAGATAAAGTGTTTTGTAGTGGTACATTTTGTATAGATAACATGTTCTGGGAATCACATTCCAGTTGTTGACAATAAATATCACATGAATCTACTCTCTGTTTTGTGACAGTCTGTTTTGAGTCTCATTGTCACTGCTGTCAATATGTGTCTGTTAGGTGCCTTTTTCTAACTGTCCAAACTTGACTCACATAAGCCAATCACCAGGTTACATAAGTCCCTATTAAACAGACACTCAGCTATGTGGAGAGGAAAACATAAGAACTACAGCATGCAGTCAACAATAAAAACCACACACACACACACAAAGAAACACACATACATAATGCCTAATTATAAATCTATTTTACAATTAACATTTTAAAAACAGTTACAATTTACAGATAAAACTGTATTTTACATAAATACAAGATCTGGTATTCTTCTCTTGTAGCCAGCCTTGTTTCATTTAGTTACAGAGTAAACATGTGCAACACTGTCCAACTGGGAGTGTTGACATGTGACATCATGCAGTCAGGAGTGTTGACGTGTGACATCATCCAGTGAGGAGTGTTGACATGTGACATCATGCAGTCAGGAGTGTTGACATGTGACATCATGCAGTCAGGAGTGTTGACATGTGACATCATCCAGTCAGGAGTGTTGACATGTGACATCATGCAGTCAGGAGTGTTGACATGTGACATCATCCAGTCAGGAGTGTTGACATGTGACATCATCCAGTCAGGAGTGTTGACATGTGACATCATCCAGTCAGGAGTGTTGACATGTGACATCATCCAGTCAGGAGTGTTGACATGTGACATCATCCAGTCAGGAGTGTTGACATGTGACATCATCCAGTCAGGAGTGTTGACATGTGACATCATGCAGTCAGGAGTGTTGACATGTGACATCATCCAGTCAGGAGTGTTGACATGTGACATCATGCAGTCAGGAGTGTTGACATGTGACATCATCCAGTCAGGGGTGTTGAAGTGTGACATCATCCAGTGAGGAGTGTTTACATGTGACATCATCCAGTCAGGAGTGTTGACATGTGACATCATCCAGTCAGGAGTATTGACATGTAACATCATCCAGCCAGGAGTGTTGAAGTGTGACATCATCCAGTGAGGAATGTTGTCATGTGACATCCTTTAGCCAGCAGTGTTGAAGTGACTTGCCCACTTGTTCCGTATTCCCTGTGACATCTTGGAGGTATAGAAGTACCTTAGTCTTGTTCACTCTCGTCTCTCCTACCCTGGACACTTCAGACACTTGTCTCTTCTACCTGAGGCTGTAGAGCTACCCAAGGCCAGTCTCTTGACATCATTAATTCTCCGCACGTGCTCAAAATTCTGAGAGACGTTAAACAAGGAATCAAACCTGAGACTTTCAATATAGTAGCCAGTTATTCTGCCTCAAACTTCAGCTGGAACAAACAAGAAAAAAAAAATGACCTTCCATGAATGACGGGCTGAAACAACAATAATGTTTTCCTAAATAAAACTTCCTCAACATTAAAAACACCAACTCTTTACACAGGCCACTAAAAACTTATTTAGGGAAATTTTGCCCAAAATAAAACTTCTGCCCCTTAAATAAATACTATATTTAGCAAATACAGTCTCACCCGGTTCTCCTGCATGCTGCGCAGGTGCAAATACAACCAATGCCGTGAACAATGCTTCTCATGACCAAGCCAGCGCAGAAAGGTGGGTAAAAGCATTTACAGGATTATGTAATGGAGGGATGTGACAGGTCAGAGGTTTATCAAGCATCAACAGATTAATGAGTCGTCTTCATGGGAAAGATATAAAGTCTGGATTATCACGACCAGTCGATGTCTGTTGTAAAGATGGCCACTAATGTACAAGACACAGTCTACCTTAACAAGATAAGTTGGGGACATAATCTATTTACGGAGCATTTAAAAAAAAATCTCACCTCTGTCCATGACGTGTGTAAACAGTTCCTAACCACATTTCTGAACAACTATAGAAATATCCAGAAAAACTCACCTTTTATACTGGAACCTGCTCATGAGGTCTTTAATTGACCTTTGCCCTGGGATGCTGGAAGTGGTGTTTTTCCCAGAAGATTTCCCTTTATGTCTAGACAACCCAGAAACTCGACACTTGGCTTGTCCTGAAATCAATTTGAGAATCAGGCTAACACAGACAGTGACAGCTGTACTGGTAAATTAATAATAAACATTAGCCTTATAAAATTATCATCCCCGTGTGGGTTTCAGAGCCCCATTACAGGAAAAACAAGAATAGATCCACTGCCTACCCACAAGCATGTTGTAAGAGTCGACTAATTGGGGAGCTTCCTTCAAAGTCGGAGTGCATCTGCCTGAGAGGCAAGGAACCAACAGTTTTCATACAAATGAGTCAGGTCTGTCAAACGGAAGCACACGCAACACTCAGGTTCTAGAACAGGACTGCAGTCCAGAAGTGGACGAACAACCAGACCTTTCTGCCGGAGTTTACAGCCAGTGAATGAAAAGAAAAAGAAGATAAAATTATCATAACGGGACACACAAAATAAAAATATCACATGCTTCCAATAAATTATCCCTTTCAGTAGGCATATTCAAGGATTTCAGTTCCCATTTAACAATTTCCTGGGGTATTGAAAACCTTGAAGATGGAAGCTGCTGTTACCAGGGTTTTGTCAGTTTCAATGCCCTCTACGAGCCCTGAGACAAACATTGTTTCCCACAAATATTCAAGTGTACATGTAGTGAAACTTTACCAAATATGTCCTGGAGCTTGTGAGTCCAAAGACTAGATGAGAAGATGTGTCTATGCAACACTCCCACCTGGACACACTGCACAGACAACATGGTGACAACCTGACAGTTGACAGCAAACACAGATATTCAACCCATCCTGCTGCGTAACGGTCCACTAGAGCTCAGTCTCTGTATCTTAGCTCGGGGTTATTCATGGGGTAGTCACATCTTTCTCACACTGTCAGTATCTTTAAACAAAGAGCACTAATTATGTTGAGCCACAGCCGTGAGAAATACACTTCTATTTAAGCACCTGTACTCTAATCACTTGGCACTGCTGGGAAACATCCCTGCTCTGTATTCGACACTAATATGTTGAAGATGAGCGGTGCTTTTGCTGTTACAACCATCAGCCTCACAATGGAGACCACGGCTGCAACAAGGCTGGGTACTCAAAGATTCACACCTGCATGCACTCTGAGCGATTCAATGAAAATCCAGTCTGGCTTCATCAGACAAGAATGGATTCGCTCATTAAATGGATCATGAATAACTTACCTAACCTTGATCTTTGTGCGGGGCACTGCAGATGCTCAAGGTAATAAGCACGCATATTATCTTGCTGACAAGTCGGTTACCATACAACAGTGTCCATCTCTCTATTTCTGATGGCTCCCCACACACACACATACAACAGTGTCCATCTCTCTATTCCTGATGGCTCCCCACACACACATACAACAGTGTCCATCTCTCTATTTCTGATGGCTCCCCACACACACCCACAACAGTGTCCCTCTCTTTATTCCTGATGGCTTCCCACACACACATACAACAGTGTCCATCTCTCTATTCCTGATGGCTTCCCACACACACCCACAACAGTGTCCATCTCTCTATTTCTGATGGCTCCCCACACACACACATACAACAGTGTCCATCTCTCTATTCCTGATGGCTTCCCACACACACCCACAACAGTGTCCATCTCTCTATTCCTGATGGCTTCCCACACACACATACAACAGTGTCCCTCTCTTTATTCCTGATGGCTTCCCACACACACATACAACAGTGTCCATCTCTCTATTTCTGATGGCTCCCCACACACACATACAACAGTGTCCATCTCTCTATTCCTGATGGCTTCCCACACACACATACAACAGTGTCCATCTCTCTATTCCTGATGGCTTCCCACACACACATACAACAGTGTCCATCTCTCTATTTCTGATGGCTCCCCACACACACATACAACAGTGTCCATCTCTCTATTTCTGATGGCTCCCCACACACACCCACAACAGTGTCCCTCTCTTTATTCCTGATGGCTCCCCACACACACACATACAACAGTGTCCATCTCTCTATTCCTGATGGCTCCCCACACACACATACAACAGTGTCCATCTCTCTATTTCTGATGGCTCCCCACACACACCCACAACAGTGTCCCTCTCTTTATTCCTGATGGCTTCCCACACACACATACAACAGTGTCCATCTCTCTATTCCTGATGGCTTCCCACACACACCCACAACAGTGTCCATCTCTCTATTTCTGATGGCTCCCCACACACACACATACAACAGTGTCCATCTCTCTATTCCTGATGGCTTCCCACACACACCCACAACAGTGTCCATCTCTCTATTCCTGATGGCTTCCCACACACACATACAACAGTGTCCCTCTCTTTATTCCTGATGGCTTCCCACACACACATACAACAGTGTCCATCTCTCTATTTCTGATGGCTCCCCACACACACATACAACAGTGTCCATCTCTCTATTCCTGATGGCTTCCCACACACACATACAACAGTGTCCATCTCTCTATTCCTGATGGCTCCCCACACACACATACAACAGTGTCCATCTCTCTATTCCTGATGGCTTCCCACACACACATACAACAGTGTCCCTCTCTTTATTCCTGATGGCTTCCCACACACACATACAACAGTGTCCATCTCTCTATTTCTGATGGCTCCCCACACACACATACAACAGTGTCCCTCTCTTTATTCCTGATGGCTTCCCACACACACATACAACAGTGTCCATCTCTCTATTCCTGATGGCTCCCCACACACACATACAACAGTGTCCATCTCTCTATTCCTGATGGCTTCCCACACACACATACAACAGTGTCCATCTCTCTATTTCTGATGGCTCCCCACACACACATACAACAGTGTCCCTCTCTTTATTCCTGATGGCTTCCCACACACACATACAACAGTGTCCCTCTCTTTATTCCTGATGGCTTCCCACAAACACACAACAGTGCCCATCTCTCTGCTATACAACACAAGAAACATGAGTCTAGCACTGAGAAGGCCTCACAAGGAACTAGCTAGCACTACAAGATACATCACTCCAACAACCCAGAGAAACGTACTCACCTGAGACGCTGGAAGCCGAGGATGTTGACAAAACTGACAAGCAGGAATTCTGAAAAATGCAACATCAAGTATTTAACCACAAGCATGTCAACCAGAAACCACTCCTTTAATATCTAGTGTCTGCAATTTAGGATATCAAATCGTTTGTAGGTGGAACGACTTAATTTACTTCAATTACAATAATAACATTTAACAATATAAAGGTTAAGAATAATTTGTCAGATTCCCAACAGTTTTTGTCTCTTGTTTCAAGTGCCTTGCAAACTGGTGTGGGTGATCATGTCACCTAGCAACTACAGTTGTCTGGTGTTTATTGCTGACACCCATTCTAGTCCCCTAGTGATTTTACAGATCCATGCTCTCAGTGTATCTGCTCACACCTGACTGTCTGATACAGCAACTCTCAGACTCACAATTTATACCTGACTCTCAGATTTTACCTGACTCTCAGACTCACAATTTATACCCGACTCTCAGACTCACAATTTATACCCGACTCTAAGACTCACAATTTATACCCAACTCTCAGACTCATAATTCATACCCAACTCTCAGACTCACAATTAATACCCGACTCTCAGACTCATAATTTACACCTGACTCTCAGACTCATAATTTATACCTGATTCTCAGACTCACAATTTATACCCGACTCTCAGACTCACAATTTATACCCGACTCTCAGACTCACAATTTATACCTGACTCTCAGACTCACAATTTATACCCGACTGTCAGACTCACAATTTATACCCAACTCTCAGACTCATAATTTATATCCGATTCTCAGACTTATAATTTATACCCGATTCTCAGACTCACAATTTATACCTGACTCTCAGACTCACAATGTTTACCTGACTTTCAGATTCAGTATCAGTCAAATCAATGACATCATCCTGATCGTAGCTAGATTTCATGTCTGAATCACCACAGCTCTCCCTGGCACTGAATATCCCGTCTGGCATCTGGTCTTCTTCTAACGACGACAAAGCTGTTCCTCTGGCTTCAAGCGCTGGACTGTTCCCGACAGACTGTGTGTGCATTCCTTCACTTCTCTGACTGTCATCATTCAACAGGTGACAAGATGAACTGTCTAAGTCTTTAAAAAAAAACACAGAAACTTTGTTACGTACCACATCAAGACATTTTTAAAAAAAAAAGTATTAAAACATCCTTACTGTAGATTTATTCAACAATCACCTTCGCTGATCTGCGAAACTGTCCTTGAGTCATCACATCCGTTTTTTCAACAAGGGTTGTCTGTCTCCGCTCAGGGAACAAACTATGTAGCTTGGATACCAGAATTCACACACTTTTCTCTTTCTTTTTCAAATGTAAACGCTGGCAAAAGGTCTTGGATGTTCATCAATGTGGACTTGTGCCACAGGGTCTGAGTTTTGCGTGTACATCCGTTTTACTGGCTTATTTGTGTGCGGTTGTTTGTGCCTTGCCACTCGGGCAGATACACTCCAACTTGGAAGGAAGCCTCCAGTTAGTCGACTCCTACAACATGCTTGTTGGGGAGTTAGTAGGTCTGTTCTTGTTTGTAAGCAGGCTAAGCTGGTACTTCAATTCAAGTCAATAACTGAAGAGTTTAAAGTCGGCAAGGTAAAACTTTTGATGATGCTGCGCGAGTCTTTAGACCCCACGGTCACAGCTGTCCAGCCAACACTAAAGACAGGTAATAAATGGAAGGTCCTAGTGCGATAGAATCTGCCCAAGATGCACTGAAAATGAAATAAGTCATGGGGTACACACAAACTGACCAGCGTGTCCTAGGGCACAGGAAAATCAGTTGGTGGTCTAAAGCCACAGCCACAGAGCGCAGAGACATGGTAATACATCAGATAAGGGACACAAAATGAGGCTCGGGTCCAAAAAGCTGCACAGCAGTCGCAGCAAGGCCAGTGGACCGGCCTCGAGAGTGCCCTGCCACTAATGCTCACAAGGGGTGAGATCTGTTTTCAGTACTCTGCTTTATGGCAGTGGGACTTGGTCAACTTATTCACTCCAGAAAAAAATTATTTAACAGCTTTCACATGCGATGCCTATGAAGAATACTCGGTGTTAAGTGGCAAGACAAGATCACAAGGGGAAATACTTACAGTCACTAGATGTCTGTGGCTCTGAGTTTTGTGTGGCACTTGCCAGATTGTCACTATCGACCTCTGCTGCACTGTCTGATGTGCCAGGCTGGCTGTTCCGGTCTAACATGCTCAAGAAATCGCTATAGCTGCAGGACTTGAGTTCCACCACATCATCAGACACATCAGCCATCTTATCTCTGAGTGAACTGTCCAGCACATCCAACTGTACACCAGCATCCGAACAGACTTTCTTGGACTTTGTGTTTTGTACGTCCCGATCGAGTGAATTTAGTAAGTCATCCGTAGCGTTTTTATGTAGACCACTACGATGTGTGATCAGTGCACCATCAGCAGGTGTGTCTGCAGTCAAACGACAGATTTCTTGATCTCCAAACGTGCCTTGAAAATTCTGAGTTGCCTTGCCAAAATCTGGCAAGCTGTGACTTGTAACTTCTGATTCTGTATTTCTCTCATGATCTATTTCATTGTTTTCACTGTCTTTCTCAACTTTAATCTGCTGTCCACTCTCTGTGAATTCAGCCTGACCTACGTGAGGTGCAGTCACCGAGAGCTTTAAAGATCCGAGACCTGTTTGATATTTTGACCAGTTGAATGCAGAGCTTGAAGATCGTTTAGGAGAATCATCTTTATTACAACTCGGAGAAAATCTAGACTGGAACTTCTTTAACCCTGCCAGCGATTGGTCAGTTTCTTGTATCAACCCTTTGTTAGACGTCATGGGGTGGGCAGTCTCATGCGTACAATCAGTCTCAGCATCCATCTGCTTTAAATTTCTAAAAGAATCCTTAGCAGGTGGTAACTGTGAATTTACAGGGGAGACAAATCTGAGAATGCCATTTTTTGAAACTGGCTTAGGTTTATGTTCCTGGGATGCATCTGACTGAATTTTCACTGGGACATTCTCAAACATGGCTTGAATAGATTTCTGTCCCTTGACAAGAGAGTCTTTCTGTGAGGTTGATGAGACGGAAGCTTTCGGGGAAGTCTTCTTCAGCTTCTGTGAAGTTGAAGCTCTGGGGGAAGACTGTCTGAGTTTCTTGAGGACAGGACTGGTTTGTTTGTGCTCTCCAGCCTGTCCTGCAGTGCTGTTTGAAACAAAATATCTGTAAATAAAGTCAGAAACAAAATACCTGTAAATAAAGTCAGGAACAAAAAATCTGTAAATAAAGTTTGAGGCAAAAATGTGTGACTAAATATACAAAAGCAAGCTTCTGCTTCGACACAAAATAACAGAACCAGACATTGGCCAACAATTACAGTCAGCAATGAAGAAATGGGAAACAGTCACAAACTTGTGGGTATACAGGATCCATAATAAACCGTTTGGACCTTTACAACAATGAGGCCAGAAGGAGACGGCATAATCTCAGTGACAAAGTTTTCAAGCTGTTTGCCTCATGCGCTCAAGGTAATGAAGCCTTGTCATGGACACAGCGTGGGCAGTTTTTTACAGAGATCCCAGTGGACTGTCGCTAGAAGTATAGAGTTGATGCTGTCTGCAACACTCCTAGCAGACAGCTAGCTGTTCTGCTAAAAGATTAAGCTTTATGAGATTACCTGGTGCAATCAAGCTGATGCTCTCAACTTTAAGAATGGTCATGCCAATGTCAAAGATTTTAAAAAAAAAAAAGGGGGGGGGGGGGGTGAACAGGCAAACACGGGGATGTAACAAATGTGAGAATGTGAATCTCTCCTGTTGCAACATGACCGTGGGTCACGGTCCATTCAGGGAGGGATAAATATAGCAACAAAATAGCTGTTGTAGTACAATAGTTAGGCATTTTCTGATCAACCCAAAGACCCTCGGTTCAACTTTGCACTGGCACAGATTGTTATAAAGTGACCATGGACCCCAGACTGACCCAGCCTAAAATGGGTAATGGAAAATGTCCAGTGAAGTAGAAGCGACCAGCACGACAATGACCAAATCATGATTAAGTGTTGACTGGTCAATTAAAAACATGATTCCAACACCACTGTCCACTGTGTTAACGACATACAACGGATTCTTTACACCCCCCCCCCCCCCCCCCCCCCCCCCCCCCCCCCCCCAGCATACCTATGAATTTCATTTTTACAGAAAATGACTAGAATGCTTTTAGATCCGGAAACAGAGGAGGGTACTCTACAAGAGGAGAACGTCAAGAGAAACTAACTCTAATCAGATCTTGCCCTGACATTTATCTCCTCATTGATTTAACCTGGCCATGATGCTCAACTTCTCTGACCTTCAACCCTTCTATCAATTTTTGACAAACAAAAAATGTATATCACCAAAGAAATTAGGATGAAATGACTCAAAGACTATAATAAATCCAAGCTTTTCACTCTTTCAGGTAAAAAGATTCTTATAATTGAATGAAATCATTTTAACATGATGCAATCACTCTCATGACACACTCATAAACAACACAAACACTCGCATATGACACAACCCATTCACTATAGTTTCTATCATCATCAAGTGCCTTGTTGACTGGCATAAGTAATCAATCCTTTCAGCAACCTGCCTTCTTCAACAGTATGTACCTGTTCATGTACCGACACCCCTCCATGCCATGTTCTTGCATTGCCTTTCTCTGTCTCTCTTTCCACAGATCTTTCTAGTGGTCACAACATGTTTCAGTTTCCTTCTTCTCATAACATGACGACCCCCCCCCCCCCCAAACACACATGCACGCTCACACACATGCACGCTCACACACATGCACGCTCACACACATGCACGCTCACACACATGCACGCTCACACACAAAATGTTGATCGCCTGTTGTGATCAACTGAGCCCTCAACTCTTTCAAAAACATTTGAGTTTATTTTTTTAAATCTGTCCAAGAAATGAGAAAGATTCTTCTGTGAATCCACATCTCCGAGGCTCTCAGAAATTGTTTAGATTGTTTATCCATGATTCTCACAGTTCTGACAAAGCTTAAAAAACTAAATTCTCTCATTCTATTGCAGATAATCAGTTCTCTGTAAATTTCTTTTCCCCGTTTTTGTTCTGATGGTCCAGTCTTCTCCCTGTGTGGGTTCCGACAGTCCAGTCTTCTCCCCGTGTGGGTTCTGACAGTCCAGTCTTCTCCCCGTGTGGGTTCCGACGGTCCAGTCTTCTCCCCGTGTGGGTTCTGACAGCCCATTTGTCTCCCCATGTGGGTTATGACGATCCAGTCTTCTCCCCGTGTGGGTTCTGACAGTCCAGTCTTCTTCCTGTGTGGGTTCTGACAGCCCATTTGTCTCCCCATGTGGGTTATGACGATCCAGTCTTCTTCCTGTGTGGGTTCTGGCAGTCCAGTCTTCTCCCTGTGTGGGTTCCGACGGTCCAGTCTTCTCCCCGTGTGGGTTCAGACAGTCCAGTCTTCTCCCTGTGTGGGTTCTGGCAGTCCAGTCTTCTCACTGTGTGGGTTCTGACAGTCCAGTCTTCTTCCTGTGTGGGTTCTGACAGCCCATTTGTCTCCCCGTGTGGGTTCTGACAGTCCAGTCTTCTCCCTGTGTGGGTTCTGACAGTCCAGTCTTCTTCCTGTGTGGGTTCTGACAGCCCATTTGTCTCCCCGTGTGGGTTCTGACAGTCCAGTCTTCTCCCTGTGTGGGTTCTGACAGTCCAGTCTTCTCCCTGTGTGGGTTCTGACAGTCCAGTCTTCTCCCTGTGTGGGTTCTGACAGTCCAGTCTTCTCCCTGTGTGGGTTCTGACAGTCCAGTCTTCTCTCTGTGTGGGTTCTGACAGTCCAGTCTTCTCTCTGTGTGGGTTCTGACAGTCCAGTCTTCTCCCCGTGTGGGTTCCTACAGTGCAGTTTGGTGGAAAAAAGAAGAGACCACCGTTTCTTCAACAAGCAACTTGTAAAAGGTGACAACTAATTAGGGATTTTTCTTCAAAGTCTGAGTACATCTGCCTGAGAGTGAGCAACCAACAATCTGCACACAAATAAGCCAGATCTGTAAAACGAAGAAGTAAGCAAAACTCAAGTTGTGGAACAACACCAAAGTTTAGAAGTGACCATCAACCAGAACTTTCAGCTCAAGTGTCAACATGTAGAAGATTCAGGGTTTTAAATCCAAGTTCTGTAGACACCACACAGTTCTGTAGACTCCACACAGTTCTGTAGCCTCCACACAGTTCTGTAGCCTCCACACAGTTCTGTAGACACCACACAGTTCTGTAGACACCACACAGTTCTGTAGACACCACACAGTTCTGTAGCCTCCACACAGTTCTGTAGACACCACACAGTTCTGTAGACACCACACAGTTCTGTAGCCTCCACACAGTTCTGTAGCCTCCACACAGTTCTGTAGCCTCCACACAGTTCTGTAGACACCACACAGTTCTGTAGCCTCCACACAGTTCTGTAGCCTCCACACAGTTCTGTAGCCTCCACACAGTTCTGTAGCCTCCACACAGTTCTGAAGCCTCCACACAGTTCTGAAGCCTCCACACAGTTCTGAAGCCTCCACACAGTTCTGTAGCCTCCACACAGTTCTGTAGCCTCCACACAGTTCTGTAGCCTCCACACAGTTCTGCAGCCTCCACACAGTTCTGCAGCCACCACACAGTTCTGCAGCCTCACACAGTTCTGCAGCCTCACACAGTTCTGCAGCCTCACACAGTTCTGTAGCCTCACACAGTTCTGTAGCCGCCACACAGTTCTACAGCCACACAGTTCTGTAGCCGCCACACAGTTCTGTAGCCGCCACACAGTTCTGTAGCCTCACACAGTTCTACAGCCGCCACACAGTTCTGTAGCCTCACACAGTTCTGTAGCCTCACACAGTTCTGTAGCCGCCACACAGTTCTGTAGCCTCACACAGTTCTGTAGCCTCACACAGTTCTGTAGCCTCACACAGTTCTGTAGCCTCACACAGTTCTACAGCCTCACACAGTTCTGTAGCCTCACACAGTTCTGTAGCCTCACACAGTTCTACAGCCTCACACAGTTCTGTAGCCGCCACACAGTTCTGTAGCCTCACACAGTTCTGTAGCCGCCACACAGTTCTGTAGCCGCCACACAGTTCTGTAGCCTCACACAGTTCTGCAGCCGCCACACAGTTCTGTAGCCTCACACAGTTCTGTAGCCGCCACACAGTTCTACAGCCTCACACAGTTCTGTAGCCGCCACACAGTTCTACAGCCTCACACAGTTCTGCAGCCTCACACAGTTCTGTAGCCTCACACAGTTCTGTAGCCTCACACAGTTCTACAGCCTCACACAGTTCTACAGCCTCACACAGTTCTGTAGCCTCACACAGTTCTACAGCCTCACACAGTTCTACAGCTTCACACAGTTCTGTAGCCTCACACAGTTCTACAGCCTCACACAGTTCTACAGCCTCACACAGTTCTACAGCCTCACACAGTTCTACAGCCTCACACAGTTCTACAGCCTCACACAGTTCTACAGCCTCACACAGTTCTACAGCCCCCACACAGTTCTACAGCCCCCACACAGTTCTACAGCCCCCACACAGTTCTACAGCCCCCACACAGTTCTACAGCCCCCACACAGTTCTACAGCCCCCACACAGTTCTGCAGCCGCCACACAGTTCTGTAGCCTCACACAGTTCTACAGCCTCACACAGTTCTGTAGCCTCACACAGTTCTGTAGCCCCACACAGTTCTACAGCCCCCACACAGTTCTATAGCCCCCACACAGTTCTATAGCCTCACACAGTTCTGCAGCCCCCACACACTTCTGCAGCCGCCACACAGTTCTGTAGCCGCCACACAGTTCTACAGCCTCACACAGTTCTACAGCCTCACACAGTTCTGTAGCCGCCACACAGTTCTGTAGCCTCCACACAGTTCTGTAGCCTCACACAGTTCTGTAGCCTCACACAGTTCTGTAGCCTCACACAGTTCTGTAGCCGCCACACAGTTCTGTAGCCTCACACAGTTCTGTAGCCTCACACAGTTCTGTAGCCTCACACAGTTCTACAGCCTCACACAGTTCTGTAGCCGCCACACAGTTCTGTAGCCTCACACAGTTCTGTAGGCTCACACAGTTCTGTAGGCTCACACAGTTCTACAGCCTCACACAGTTCTACAGCCTCACACAGTTCTACAGCCTCACACAGTTCTACAGCCTCACACAGTTCTGTAGCCTCACACAGTTCTGTAGCCGCCACACAGTTCTGTAGCCTACACACAGTTCTGTAGCCTACACACAGTTCTGTAGCCTCCACACAGTTCTGTAGCCGCCACACAGTTCTGTAGCCGCCACACAGTTCTACAGCCGCCACACAGTTCTACAGCCGCCACACAGTTCTACAGCCGCCACACAGTTCTGCAGCCCCCACACAGTTCTACAGCCGCCACACAGTTCTGTAGCCGCCACACAGTTCTGTAGCCGACACACAGTTCTGTAGCCGACACACAGTTCTGTAGCCGACACACAGTTCTACAGCCGCCACACAGTTCTACAGCCGCCACACAGTTCTACAGCCGCCACACAGTTCTGCAGCCCCCACACAGTTCTACAGCCGCCACACAGTTCTGTAGCCGCCACACAGTTCTGTAGCCTACACACAGTTCTGTAGCCTACACACAGTTCTGTAGCCTTCACACAGTTCTGTAGCCGCCACACAGTTCTACAGCCGCCACACAGTTCTACAGCCGCCACACAGTTCTACAGCCGCCACACAGTTCTACAGCCGCCACACAGTTCTACAGCCGCCACACAGTTCTACAGCCGCCACACAGTTCTACAGCCGCCACACAGTTCTACAGCCGCCACACAGTTCTACAGCCGCCACACAGTTCTACAGCCGCCACACAGTTCTACAGCCGCCACACAGTTCTGTAGCCGCCACACAGTTCTACAGCCGCCACACAGTTCTGTAGCCGCCACACAGTTCTGCCCACATACAAAATAACTCAAATAGAAACAAAGACAACCCCCTACCTGCTCCTGACATGAACAGCTGCTGCTGCTGGTGTATTCAAGTCAAACTTGGGAACTTTGACAGCTCCCCCAGGAATGGCAAAAACATTCCTACTTTTGCCCGGACTGGGAGCACTGTCAGAGGCACCCAGAGGACCATCAGAGGCTCCCGGAGCACAGGAGCTTGTCATCCTGAAGGCATCCTCTCCAATATTGGCTGCTGATGGCTTCCAGGGCGAAACAGACATTTTTCTTTTCAGAGATGTCCTCGGCTTTTCCTCTTCACTGTCACTAGTTTGGTTCAAATGATCACCATCATCAACACCACTGAAGACTTCATCAGCTTCATGATTCTGTGTGTATGAATCTGAATCTTTCATTTCCTCGTCTCTGAGAACATTCTCTGAATTCTCCAAACTCCTCCTGACTCTCCTCATGTCAGGACTGGCATTTTCATCAGTTTCTGCGTATAACGACACCAGGTCTTCATCTGACTTCAGATCCAACTGATCCCCCCCTGGAACAGAAACATCAAACAAGCTAATGACAAAATCATGTTTTATTATTCTCTTATTTGTCCTAAAATGTTTCTCATCAAGCATGATCTAGGCAAGAACACAGATAACATCTCTCTCCTGAGAATGATTAACTTCATGCCACTGAGAAAATGAAGAGACGACGAGGAAAAAAAGCTCACGACAAATGTGAGTTAGAAACAAGTACAACGCTCACTATTTGAACAATTATTGTGCGTGTTAGCTATGAAATGCATTTATCTGGCATGCAGTTGGCAAGACCAAACCATCTTATTCTGGGCTAGGCAGAATCACCATCATGTGCCTTGCTGTCTTTCAACTGCCAAACAAACACCCTCAAACCACTGACACCAAATGTTTGTTGATTACTGATTGTATCTTGTGGCATGATTTCTAGTCAATCACTCTCTCAGCGGCCTGCGGGGGAATCAAGGATAGACCCCTAACATGCATCTCATAAAAGGCGACTCATTAGGAGTAAAGATTTAAACAACGGATCAACATCATAGCACAAGGGTAGTAACCCATTAGTGCTCCATTCTACTTCTAACTCAAGCCTGAGTCCAAAGATTCTCAGCGCAGTGCACGAACTCTGTAGCACCGGCGGGGATCTGAAATACTTAGGGTAGATTTTAAACTCCAAAACTTTGCCCGGGCAGCGCCGTTAGGCTACTTTTTTTTTATTTTCAACTGCCAAGGGATTTTTATTTTACAGCGCAACAATACACACGGGCGTCCGATCTTACTAGTCAGAGACGAGGGAAAAATTACTAGAAGTCCATGTGAAAAAATCCAAGCCTTGAACCCAGGACCTCCAGCACTCAAAGCCGACGCCATGCCCAGAGACCATTCATTAGGAGTGTTTCCTTCCAAATCAGAGAGCATCTGCCTGAGAGGTGAGGAACCAACAGTCTGCATAAGAAAAAGCCAGATCTGTAAATGGATATGCATGCAAAACTCAAATTCTGGAACAAGACCAAAATCCATAAGTAGGCGTACAACCAGAACTTTCACCAGAGTTTACAGCCGGTGAACGCGAAGAAGTCTCACACCAACCTTCCTCAGTTGTCTCTTATGACACATATGGCAGGTTACATTGTCAACTATTCTTTGCTTTTCTAACAGGCCAAAAGGGAACATACAAGCAAGACAAAATGCTGCCATTCAAACAAAAACAAAGCTGGTAAGCCAAACTATGCAGATCACACACCAAAAACACAACTGCACACGTACAAGATCTGACAATTAAGTAATAAGTCTGAGAACACACACTTGTTTTTGGGCCAAACATTCTTGTTTTGATGATGTTTCTTGGGTACTCAACCCGCTGATGTTTTTGGTCATCAGACAAAAAATGTGGTACAAACGGCAAGCAACTGGGGGTTGGGGTTGGGGGGGGGGGGGGGGGGGGGGGGGGGGGTAATCTTGCACTAAAATGTTATGAATGATCTCTCTGATTCATCTGCCATCATCCTCACAGTAAACCAATGATCTTCTTTTATCCGTTCTCTGAATGAGTCCATCATTTCGAACAGAAATTTGGCGTCCAGGTCTAGGTGCATTGGAAATAATTTCCACACCACTTTTGACTTGTGAATAGCACCTGAAAATTTGTGCATGAGATAAATAATTATGCCCATAAACTTGTTGCATCAATTCAGATGTTTCAATGGCGCTTTTTCTGAGTTTTAAAAAGAATTTAATGTTAGCTTTTTGCTACATGCTGATTACGCAACAATCCACCTCTGACTAGGTCAACAAAATGGCGGCTTTTTTGTTTGCTTATTGAGGGGCGATGAAAAGTTGCCAGATCATAGATGAATGTTGCCTCTTTAGATTCCATGCTTTGCTTCTAGATGGCATTTTTGTCTTGGCCATAATAAAATTTCATAACCTAATTGTCGGACCTTGTACAAGTTCCCTGTCCAGGCAATCGTTGCTCCCTGGCAACAAGTTCAGTAATTATCAACAATACAAGGACAACAACCAACCTGATCTGACTCGTTTAGCTAGCGCCTGCTTGAAAGATCGAACTGTGACTGTCTGTACCTGGCCATGAAGGGACACTTTCCTCTCTTCTTTGGTTGGCTGGATTTCTTTACAAGGAGACCCAGACTTGATACAATAGTTTCTGTCCCAGATGCTCAACTGGTGTCTGAATTTTGGCTTGATGGCATTCTTGGGCTGAAAGCGGACAGATATAACAGTACTAGATTTTATACACAGGACTAGACAAAATATACAGAACTAGAGGTTATACACAGGACTAGACAATCCATGCAGAACTAGACTATACAGAACACTGATATTTGACTTCAGTGTTCTTACTCACTGTATATATAATACTGTTGTCTTTTTTTCTTCTGATTATAGCTTTTGTTATTTTTGGTAATGTATTTACACCACTAGTGGTAATTTGAGGACCTTCTTCTCTCTCTCTCTCACTGTACGGATAAACAACCCACTTCAGAATCCAGATCTTCTACTGAGACAAGCAACCCACTTTTGAACAGAGGACCCATTCCTGAGACAGACAACCTACTGCCAGGGAAAACAACCCACTTCAGAACCAGGAACTCAGTCATGAGACAGACATTCCATTTTAGAACCAGGGACCCAGTAATGAGACAGACATTCTCCTTCAGAACCAGGAACCCAGTCAAGAGACAGACATTCCACTTCAGAACCAGGAACTCAGTCAAGAGACAGACATTCCACTTCAGAACCAGGAACTCAGTCATGAGACAGACATTCTCCTTCAGAACCAGGAACCCAGTCATGAGACAGACATTCTCCTTCAGAACCAGGAACTCAGTCAAGAGACAGACATTCCACTTCAGAACCAGGAACCCAGTCATGAGACAGACATTCTCCTTCAGAACCAGGAACCCAGTCATGAGACAGACATTCTCCTTCAGAACCAGGAACCCAGTCATGAGACAGACATTCCACTTCAGAACCAGGAACTCAGTCAAGAGACAGACATTCCACTTCAGAACCAGGAACTCAGTCATGAGACAGACATTCCACTTCAGAACCAGGAACTCAGTCAAGAGACAGACATTCCACTTCAGAACCAGGGACGCACTCAGACACATGCCACTTCAGTACCAGGGACCCACTCATGAGACATACATTCCACTTCAGAACCCAGCCATGAGACAGACATTCCACTTCAGAACCCAGTCATGAGACAGACATTCCACTTCAGAGTGAAACTGAAACTGCAGCAGAATTGATAAATCTAAACAGTGGTTGACTCACAATGGCTTACCTGATATCAGGACAGGACACACAAACCTACCACAGGAGACAAGCAGAAACAATCTTTGCTGCCGCTACTGATCCACTTCTTTAGGCTGATTTAATAGAAGCAGCCGACCAAGCCGTTACAAAGGCAGGCTCTCATGCAGGAGAAGCGAGTTCGGTACTTGGTAAGGTTTCTCTGTCAGGGGCAAAATTAAACATCCTAACCTGCACAGTGCGTGGCGAAAGCACTATATATGCATCCGTAAATCCTCAGGCTTACGCCCCTCTGGCGGAAAGTTCTGGTTGTTTATCCACTGCTGGACTGCAGTCCAGTTCCAGAACCTGAGTGTTGTGTGTGCATCCGTTTTACAGATCTGACTCATGTGTATGCAGACTGCTGGTTCCTTGCCTCTCAGGCAGATGCACTCCGACTTTGAAGAAAGCTCCCAATTTGTCGACTCTTACGACATGCTTTTGGGTAGGCAGTGGGTCTATTCTTGTTTTCCCTATAATAGGGCCCCGGAATATAGAGGGTTTGAAACTGGGTCTCCTGAGTGAGTGCCTAGTGATTTTAACCCCTTGGACAGTTGCTCCAGGAGCTTGGAAAATTACACAAAAACCTACCACAAACGAGTCAGGATCAAAATAGGAGATACACTTATGGCTGTGGGCATCAATGTTACCGACAGCGATCTGGTAGGCTTTCTCTTCCGGCAGGTATCTGTTGCCAGTTAAGAAAATCAAGTCAGCGAACATAACATCCAGGGTGTCAATGCACCAGGAACAAGGTGAGGTCCTGCCAGGTCAAAGGTCAAGTGAATAGGACATAAGGTCAAGAAGAAGACCAAGAGAAAGCTGTTCAAGTACAAGACAAAACATGGTCATGGAGAAAGTTAAGTAAGGCAGATGAAAATTAACATGATCAATGAAAGATCAATGAATAAGGAAGCAAGCATAAAATAAAAATATATGTACAAGGCTAATTAAATACTCCATTATAAGAAAGTAGATCATTTAAATTATTTGCAGTTTACCAATAAAACATTAACATTATAAGTAATTTTCTGGCCAAAATTAGCACACAAAAGAATACAATATGATTTCACTACACACAATCTACTCTGACTGTCATTAGAGATATTTTGTAGAAAACATGATTAAAAGGATTCTCTCCAGCGTAGCCCAGATTGTCAGCCTCCACTTCTGGTGGGTAGGGATTGAGCGGGCACAATTGACGACTAACTGGGTCAAAGACTAGTTGGTAGAGAAAAGTGTTGTCGGCACGGACAAATCCCTCGACGTATTCGTCTGTAACTGTCAGGTTTGTCTTGAGATAGGTCGGCAGTTTCCGCAGCATCTGTAGACAGATGGCATTGAGAATAAAATGTTTTGCAAAATGAATTCATTAAACAAAAAACAAAATAAACCACTAGGCGAAAACTAACTCTACAATCCCCGGCAGGAAAGAAAAGACTAAAAAAGAATGCAAAGTACCTCTACATCCCAGGTAAAAAGAGGAAAGACTAAACAAGACTGTAAGGTGCCTCTACATCCCAGGGTAGGAGAGGAAAGACACAACAAGACTGTAAGGTACCTCTACATCCTAGGGTAGGAGAGGAGAGACACAACAAGACTGTAAGGTACCTCTACATCCCAGGGTAGAAGAGGAGAGACACAACAAGACTGTAAGGTACCTCTACATCCCAGGGTGGAAGAGGAAAGACTAAACAAGACTGTAAGGTACCTCTACATCCCAGGGTAGGAGAGGAAAGACTAAACAAGACTGTAAGGTACCTCTACATCCCAGGGTAGAAGAGGAGAGACACAACAAGACTGTAAGGTACCTCTACATCCCAGGGTGGAAGAGGAAAGACTAAACAAGACTGTAAGGTACCTATACATCCCAGGGTGGAAGAGGAAAGACTAAACAAGACTGTAAGGTACCTCTACATCCCAGGGTAGAAGAGGAAAGACTAAACAAGACTGTAAGGTACCTCTTACATCCCAGGGTAGGAGAGGAAAGACTAAACAAGACTGTAAGGTACCTCTACATCCTAGGGTAGGAGAGGAAAGACTTAACAAGACTGTAAGGTTCCTCTACCTCCCAGGGTAGGAGAGGAAAGACTAAACAAGACTGTAAGGTACCTCTACATCCCAGGGTAGGAGAGGAAAGACTAAACAAGACTGTAAGGTACCTCTACATCCCAGGGTAGGAGAGGAAAGACTAAACAAGACTAAGGTACCTCTACAGCCTAGGGTAGGAGAGGAAAGACTAAACAATACTGTGAGGTACCTCTACATCCCAGGGTAGGAGAGGAAAGACTAAACAAAACTGTGAGGTACCTCTACATCCCAGGGTAGGAGAGGAAAGACTAAACAAGACTGTAAGGTACCTCTACATCCCAGGGTAGAAGAGGAAAGACTAAACAAGACTGTAAGGTACCTCTACATCCCAGGGTGGAAGAGGAAAGACTAAACAAGACTGTAAGGTACCACTACATCCCAGGGTAGTAGAGGAAAGACTAAACAAGACTGTAAGGTACCTCTACATCCCAGGGTAGTAGAGGAAAGACTAAACAAGACTGTAAGGTACCTCTACATCCCAGGGTAGTAGAGGAAAGACTAAACAAGACTGTAAAGTACCTCAACATCCTAGGGTAGAAAAGGAAAAACTAAACAAGACTGTAAGGTACCTCTACATCCCAGGGTAGAAGAGGAAAGACTAAACAGTACTGTAAGGTACCTCTACATCCCAGGGTAGAAGAGGAAAGACTAAACAAGACTGTAAGGTACCTCTACATCCCAGGGTGGAAGAGGAAAGACTAAACAAGACTGTAAGGTACCTCTACATCCCAGGGTGGAAGAGGAAAGACTAAACAAGACTGTAAGGTACCTCTACATCCCAGGGTAGGAGAGGAAAGACTAAACAAGACTGTAAGGTACCTCTACATCCCAGGGTAGAAGAGGAGAGACACAACAAGACTGTAAGGTACCTCTACATCCCAGGGTGGAAGAGGAAAGACTAAACAAGACTGTAAGGTACCTATACATCCCAGGGTGGAAGAGGAAAGACTAAACAAGACTGTAAGGTACCTCTACATCCCAGGGTAGAAGAGGAAAGACTAAACAAGACTGTAAGGTACCTCTTACATCCCAGGGTAGGAGAGGAAAGACTAAACAAGACTGTAAGGTACCTCTACAGCCTAGGGTAGGAGAGGAAAGACTAAACAATACTGTGAGGTACCTCTACATCCCAGGGTAGGAGAGGAAAGACTAAACAAAACTGTGAGGTACCTCTACATCCCAGGGTAGGAGAGGAAAGACTAAACAAGACTGTAAGGTACCTCTACATCCCAGGGTAGAAGAGGAAAGACTAAACAAGACTGTAAGGTACCTCTACATCCCAGGGTGGAAGAGGAAAGACTAAACAAGACTGTAAGGTACCACTACATCCCAGGGTAGTAGAGGAAAGACTAAACAAGACTGTAAGGTACCTCTACATCCTAGGGTAGGAGAGGAAAGACTAAACAAGACTGTAAGGTACATCTACATCCCAGGGTAGTAGAGGAAAGACTAAACAAGACTGTAAGGTACCTCTACATCCCAGGGTAGTAGAGGAAAGACTAAACAAGACTGTAAAGTACCTCAACATCCTAGGGTAGAAAAGGAAAAACTAAACAAGACTGTAAGGTACCTCTACATCCCAGGGTAGAAGAGGAAAGACTAAACAGTACTGTAAGGTACCTCTACATCCCAGGGTAGAAGAGGAAAGACTAAACAAGACTGTAAGGTACCACTACATCCCAGGGTAGTAGAGGAAAGACTAAACAAGACTGTAAGGTACCTCTACATCCTAGGGTAGGAGAGGAAAGACTAAACAAGACTGTAAGGTACCTCTACATCCCAGGGTAGGAGAGGAAAGACTAAACAAGACTGTAAGGTACCTCTACATCCCAGGGTAGGAGAGGAAAGACTAAACAAAACTGTGAGGTACCTCTACATCCCAGGGTAGGAGAGGAAAGACTAAACAAGACTGTAAGGTACCTCTACTAAACAAGACTGTAAGGTACCTCTACATCCCAGGGTAGGAGAGGAAAGACTAAACAAGGCTGTAAGGTACCTCTACATCCCAGGGTGGAAGATGACAGACTAAACAAGACTGTAAGGTACCTCTACATACCAGGGTAGGAGAGGAAAGACTAAACAGTACTGTAAGGTACCTCTACATCCCAGGGTAGAAGAGGAAAGACTAAACAAGACTGTAAGGTACCTCTACACCCCAGGGTAGAAGAGGAAAGACTCAACAAGACTGTAAAGTACCTCAACATCCTAGGGTAGAAAAGGAAAAACTAAACAAGACTGTAAGGAGCTTCTACATCCCAGGGTAGAAAAGGATAGACAAAATTTATTTAACAAGTTGAAATCCAGTTTTGCACTGAGCTTTACATGGATTTGATGTAGTGCTGGTTTGGCCAGAACTTCTCTGTATTGACAGCTCGCTTGTCAAGACTAGAAGACAATAGGAAATGAACATCTAAAGACTACAGGAAATGAATACCTAACAGACAAACTGGCACTACCCACCTGGCGTATGTCGGGCTGTCTGGCAGATTTCATGACTTTACAAGCCTTGGCCAGTCCAATGCCGGGGATAGAAGGGAGATAATCACAGCCAGACAGTATGCACATGTGACGGAACTTCTCAAACGTGTAAAACCCTCCTTTGATGGATAAAACTTCGTTGAGACGAGACTTTTCTATGAGAATTCCATTCCCAAATAAATCCATTTTAAAAATAATCTGCAAGAAACAACAAAATTCATAAACTAACTGTAATCATGTGAGTTCTGGGGCCCCTATTTGGGGGGAGGGGACAGAAGAGAGAAGACCCACCGCCCGCTAACAAGCGTATTGTAAAACGTGCTAACTTCGGATTTGCTGAAATTGGATACTTGAGCTGAAAAGGCCCAAGGGTGGAGAAAGCTCGAGTGTGCCAGCTGATCCAGTCACAAATATCACTGCGCCCTTATGACGTCTGAAAATAAGTTTTTTTGTTCACTAATCTGTTTCAGTATTTGCAAATGGAGCAGCAGCAGATTAGCCAACACCAGCGTGTGTGTGACCAGATTTCATTAGAAAGACAGTTAATAAATATTTGCCCTAAAAAAGTGCAGTTAACTTTTTTGCTTTGTTTTTAAAAAAAAATACTCGATTAAAAAAAAATATGAGAAGGAAAAGAAAGCTGATAGAAATAAAACAGAGACAAGTCAGGTGTCACTATTTTACCTGATCATTCCCTACCAAAAAAGGACGCAATTTTTCCTTATACAGCCCCACCCTGGCTGTAGTCAGGGGCCCTAATAAAACCTAACGGTTGAATAGGGTTTTTGGGACTTGTACCCGGGTGATCCTCATCCGAATGGTGGCATAGCGTCAATAGGTGTTGGTCGCTCGTTCTCTGGTCCTGGTAGGGTTGAACAACATACACGTCGCCTTTCTGTTACCGAGGCACAAAGGGTCAGTTTAGTATTGCAAGATGCTGTAACAGTTCACTACAGAGTTGGCATGAGTCTATCCCATAGAGAACTTCATCTGCACAATGCAGCCAGCCATGAACTAGTTTATAAACGGCTAGGTGTCCGTTGTTTACGGAGATTAATGGCTGAAGAAGACGAAGACAAAAAAATTGAGACTATGTTTAAAAAAACCGAGATTCTTAGGAAGATAATACTGACACAAACAGTTGAAGACAGGCAAACAAGAGAGAGGCAACGTCAGAGCTGGTTGTTAATATTGTACAAAAAACCAAACAGAGAGAGAACAAACGAACAAATAAACACACTTTATTTTCAAACGGTCACAAAGGTCTGTCTTACATTCGGCACTTCCAATCACCCATATTTCGCACAGCAGTTGTATTTTACTAATAAAGCATGTTATGATCAAATGATGTGCATATTATGAATATCATAAAACAACACAAAAGTATAAAAATGAGAGATTGAGACAGACTGATGGGATAAAGGCAGCGATTGAGGTGATACGATAATATCAAAAGATGGATGAATATACAATAACAAGAGAGAGAGTTAGACAGACAGAGAAGAAGTATTGGGGATCTAATGCAGCCATTATTCATCATGTAGACGAGACTTGATTCAGGAGTGGCTCACTGAAACAGGTAGTCGCCCCACTAACCTTCTCACAGCCAAACAGCAGCAGATCGGAATCTTCTGTAACAATAATGTCTGCAATCCCTCGCAGGTTCAGATACGCCAGCTGGGCATCAGCTTCGTATGGGGCAACGATACAATCCACCCCTCGGTCTCGACACGCCTGCAACAACAATTTCAAACAAGTGGACAATCAGTCGCCAGAATCGTATGAACACAGAAGTCTGTTCCAGCCCATAGCTTATTGTATATTCCTTTCTGTTTTAATATCGGCTCTGTGGCTAAGTTGATGCGAACGCTTCGTAATGCCGGGTTCAATCCCAGCTGCGGGCCATGCGCCTTGCGTTGGTTTCAACAGTGGTATCAAGAAAGCCAACCGTCCAGAAAGCAGTGGCAAACTACTGGACGTAACTTTGCCTAGAAAAACCAAACAATAGCAAGGGTCTGTTGGGGTTGGTTGTGCAACGTCCTATAAAGGATCCGCAACTAACCTGATTCTGTTTTAATGAGCGCACTGAAAGACAGGTGTGGTGGTCAGTCTCACCTATCCAGCAAATGTTACCTGCATCAACTGCTACAACAGGTTAGATGTCGCCAGCACACAACACAATCTGACAATCACATCATGAGATGCCATCAATAAAGCAAAGAATATCATCCACACAGGCACCGTTCATCTGTGATGTGGTAAAACTGTAATGCCGCCTGGTTAGCAGATGGCATGTAACCACCACCCCCTCCCCCCCACCCCATTTTGTTTAGCTGCTAAAAGTTGCGTTGTTATATATAGAGCATAGAGCCAATAATGATAATTTATTCTCCATTGTGTGGGAAACAAGAATAGACCCACTGCCTAACCAAAAGTATGTCTAAGAGTCGACTAATCAGGAACTTCCTTTGAAGTCAGAGTGCATCTGCCTGAGCGGTGAGGAACCAACAGTACAAATAAGTCAAATCTGTATAACAAATGTGCTTGCAAAACTCAGGTTCTGGAACAGGGCTAGAGTCCAGAAGTGGACGAACAACCAGAACTTTCCGCTGGAGTTTACAGCTGGTGGATGCAAACAAGAAGAAGAAGATTCTGTTTCAGATTGTTGAAATGTGCCCTTGGCTCAAGGGTCACAGGTCACTTAACGAGGATCAATGGTTATCCAATTCAACATGAAACTCACCTGCCATCATTAGAAACCTCACACGCTAGAGACAAAAGGGTTCAAGTCAGAGATGTACTGACTTATTTATGTAGTCATTTTGATACCGAAGGCAAGTGGCAAAGCTTTAGGGGCTTTTAAAAGTCTGAAAATCTGGAATTCTTAAACTGTATAGTTTTAGAACCAAGTTTTATGTATTTTCAAATGTAATTTTATTTAAATTTTAACAGACGCAAGTGAAAGTTGGAAAGCCACTAATGGAATGAAAGTCTGTGACAATACAAACTGTGGGGTTGTGTGACAATACAAACTGTGGGGTTGTGTGATAATACAAACTGTGGGGTTGTGTGACAATACAAACTGTGGGGTTGTGTGACAATACAAACTGTGGGGTTGTGTGACAAAACAAACTGTGGGGTTGTGTGACAATACAAACTGTGGGGTTGTGTGACAATACAAACTGTGACGTTATGTGACAATACAAAATGTGAGGTTGTGTGACAATACAAACTGTGACGTTGTGTGACAATACAAACTGTGACGTTATGTGACAATACAAACTGTGACGTTATGTGACAATACAAAATGTGGGGTTGTGTGATAATACAAACTGTGGGGTTGTGTGACAATACAAACTGTGGGGTTGTGTGACAATACAAACTGTGGGGTTGTGTGACAATACAAACTGTGGGGTTGTGTGACAATACAAACTGTGGGGTTGTGTGACAATACAAACTGTGGGGTTGTGTGACAATACAAACTGTGGGGTTGTGTGACAATACAAACTGTGGGGTTGTGTGACAATACAAACTGTGGGGTTGTGTGACAATACAAACTGGTGCTGAGAACAATAAAACCTCACATTCATAAGTTCCAAGGCCATTTGTGGGGTGATGTCCACACATCGCTGCAAACATTCTTTGGCTTCGCTTCTCTTGCCCTCCCGCAGAAACTGAGCAGCCTTCTTCCTGTGCAGCTCTCTACGTCTAAAGTTTAAAGATTGCATCAGAACTGGCGCACATAAAACTTGTCAATGATCACAAAACACATATGTACTAGTTGACACTTGTCCTAGAGGGAACTGACAAGCTGTCTTTTGTTTACGACTCCAAAGCTAGGCAGCAGGCTGTGACCAGGACCAAATAGCCACAAAAGCCAAGCCTCTCAAAGTATGCATCAAATATGAACAATTATGACATGGACTGGTAGGCCCTGTATTTTGCATAAGCAAATGAATATAATAAATGAAAATGGTAGCAGTAAGACAGACCACAGAATAATTTAAGAACATACACTGGACAATGACATTAGTGCAAACAAACAAGCAATGTGAGACTGATGAATAGAACTTGATGGGACATGGGGGAAAACTGACCAAGTCAGCGAATTAATTATATGGGTCGGCTACGCCATATATGTACAACGGATCTGAATGTAAATGTCAGTGAATTGCACACTCCACAGGCAGTGTCTGCTATGTGACTATGCCATAAAATGTACAGTCTGGGATGTAGTATATGACAGCTATGTGACTATACCATTATACGTACAGTCTGGGATGTAGTATATGGCAGCTATGGGATGGGTATGGTGACTACATACAAGTCAGGTCACCTCCCAACCCCACTTCTACCCTTTGGTGCAGCCATCATAGAGTTCACACACAGCTCTGTCAGGAAATACATTTAATTTGTTCCTCACTAGCTGTCAACTTAGGTGGAGATTCCTGGTCGTTCTTTGCCCTTCCCCCCGGAACTTTAGTGTTGTGTGCATGTCTGTTTTACAGGCTGGCTTATATGTGTACAGACTGTTGGTTCTTTGCCTCTCCAGCAATTATACATCCAACCTTTCTATGTGGGCCAGACCCCTGGTAGGAAACCTGTTCTAGGATGCCTGCAACCAGACGTGGATATGTCTTGACTAGCCTGTGTCCCGCTCCAAGTTCAGCACCTCTGCACCGCGTATAAGTATTCACAAACATTTCAGTTGAATTTTCTGTCTTCCAGTCCAATATGGAGGATAGGTAGGGCAGAAAGTTTAGCTTTAAAGTTATTTTTGTTTCTGACAGCGCTTCGCTTATCTAATTTCTATATATGGATAATAGTCTACGGTTTCGCTGCCTAGGCATCTGAGATATGTGCTTGGTGCAGCCCTGTGAGTTGTAATTTTCATGTGTGCAAAGGTTAAGTCATGGCATTCAGTATGGTGGGTAGCCGATTTATTTGTGGACTGGTAAAATACCTAATGTAATAATTTTGATTGTGTATAGCCAACTTATTGTGACTGACTACTTCTATCAATGAAAAACTGCATTTCTAGTGGTGATTGTAGGCTCTGTCGCCTCTAGCAACTGTCTTATACATTTACTGTATGCACATATTTCTAGTGGTGACTGTAGGCTCTGTCGCCTCTAGCAACTGTCTTATACATTTACTGCATGCACATATTTCTAGTGGTGACTGTAGGCTCTGTCGCCTCTAGCAACTGTCTTATACATTTACTGCATGCACATATTTCTAGCGGTGACTGTAGGCTTTGTCGCCTCTAGCAACTGTCTTATACATTTACTGCATGCACATATTTCTAGTGGTGACTGTAGGCTTTGTCGCCTCTAGCAACTGTCTTATACATTTACTGCATGCACATATTTCTAGTGGTGACTGTAGGCTCTGTCGCCTCTAGCAACTGTCTTATACATTTACTGCATGCACATATTTCTAGTGGTGACTGTAGGCTTTGTCGCCTCTAGCAACTGTCTTATACATTTACTGCATGCACATATTTCTAGTGGTGACTGTAGGCTCTGTCGCCTCTAGCAACTGTCTTATACATTTACTGCATGCACATATTTCTAGTGGTGACTGTAGGCTCTGTCGCCTCTAGCAACTGTCTTATACATTTACTGCATGCAAATATTTCTAGTGGTGACTGTAGGCTCTGTCGCCTCTAGCAACTGTCTTATACATTTACTGCATGCACATATTTCTGAATTGTACTAATTTATCAAACAGGACAGTGAGGACCATTTCATTTGATCTTTACTGGCACAGAAATGGAGCATGTACGGGGTGACCCAGTTGCAATGAAGCTGAAACCTTGACCAGTTTTCCAGTTGTCACCACACTTTGCAACAGTCACCAAGTTTTCCAGTTGTCACCAAACTTTGCAACAGTCACCAAGTTTTCCAGTTGTCACCACACTTTGCAATAGTCACCAGTTATCACCACACTTTGCAACAGTCACCAGTTATCACCACACTTTGCAACAGTCACCAGTTGTCACCACACTTTGCAATAGTCACCAGTTGTCACCACACGTTGCAACAGTCACCAAGTTTTCTAGTTGTTACCACACGTTGCAACAGTCACCAAGTTTTCTAGTTGTCACCACACGTTGCAACAGTCACCAAGTTTTCCAGTTGTCACCACACGTTGCAACAGTCACCAAGTTTTCCAGTTGTTACCACACTTTGCAACAGTCACCAAGTTTTCTAGTTGTCACCACACGTTGCAACAGTCACCAAGTTTTCTAGTTGTTACCACACTTTGCAACAGTCACCAAGTTTTCTAGTTGTCACCACACTTTGCAATAGTCACCAGTTGTCACCACACGTTGCAACAGTCACCAAGTTTTCTAGTTGTCACCACACGTTGCAACAGTCACCAAGTTTTCCAGTTGTCACCACACGTTGCAACAGTCACCAAGTTTTCTAGTTGTCACCACACGTTGCAACAGTCACCAAGTTTTCTAGTTGTTACCACACGTTGCAACAGTCACCAGTTGTCACCACACGTTGCAACAGTCACCAAGTTTTCTAGTTGTCACCACACTTTGCAATAGTCACCAGTTGTCACCACACGTTGCAACAGTCACCAAGTTTTCTAGTTGTCACCACACGTTGCAACAGTCACCAAGTTTTCCAGTTGTCACCACACGTTGCAACAGTCACCAAGTTTTCTAGTTGTCACCACACGTTGCAACAGTCACCAAGTTTTCTAGTTGTCACCACACGTTGCAACAGTCACCAAGTTTTCTAGTTGTCACCACACGTTGCAACAGTCACCAAGTTTTCTAGTTGTCACCACACGTTGCAACAGTCACCAAGTTTTCTAGTTGTCACCACACTTTGCAATAGTCACCAGTTGTCACCACACGTTGCAACAGTCACCAAGTTTTCTAGTTGTCACCACACTTTGCAATAGTCACCAGTTGTCACCACACGTTGCAACAGTCACCAAGTTTTCTAGTTGTCACCACACTTTGCAATAGTCACCAGTTGTCACCACACGTTGCAACAGTCACCAAGTTTTCTAGTTGTCACCACACTTTGCAATAGTCACCAGTTGTCACCACACGTTGCAACAGTCACCAAGTTTTCTAGTTGTCACCACACGTTGCAACAGTCACCAAGTTTTCTAGTTGTCACCACACTTTGCAATAGTCACCAGTTGTCACCACACGTTGCAACAGTCACCAAGTTTTCTAGTTGTCACCACACGTTGCAACAGTCACCAAGTTTTCCAGTTGTCACCACACGTTGCAACAGTCACCAAGTTTTCTAGTTGTCACCACACGTTGCAACAGTCACCAAGTTTTCTAGTTGTTACCACACGTTGCAACAGTCACCAGTTGTCACCACACGTTGCAACAGTCACCAAGTTTTCTAGTTGTCACCACACTTTGCAATAGTCACCAGTTGTCACCACACGTTGCAACAGTCACCAAGTTTTCTAGTTGTCACCACACGTTGCAACAGTCACCAAGTTTTCCAGTTGTCACCACACGTTGCAACAGTCACCAAGTTTTCTAGTTGTCACCACACGTTGCAACAGTCACCAAGTTTTCTAGTTGTCACCACACGTTGCAACAGTCACCAAGTTTTCTAGTTGTCACCACACGTTGCAACAGTCACCAAGTTTTCTAGTTGTCACCACACGTTGCAACAGTCACCAAGTTTTCTAGTTGTCACCACACGTTGCAACAGTCACCAAGTTTTCTAGTTGTCACCACACGTTGCAACAGTCACCAAGTTTTCTAGTTGTCACCACACGTTGCAACAGTCACCAGTTGTCACCACACGTTGCAACAGTCACCAAGTTTTCTAGTTGTCACCACACGTTGCAACAGTCACCAAGTTTTCTAGTTGTCACCACACGTTGCAACAGTCACCAAGTTTTCCAGTTGTCACCACACGTTGCAACAGTCACCAAGTTTTCTAGTTGTCACCACACTTTGCAACAGTCACCAAGTTTTCTAGTTGTCACCACACGTTGCAACAGTCACCAAGTTTTCTAGTTGTCACCACACGTTGCAACAGTCACCAAGTTTTCTAGTTATCACCACACGTTGCAATAGTCACCAAGTTTTCTAGTTGTCACCACACGTTGCAATAGTCACCAAGTTTTCTAGTTGTTACCACACGTTGCAATAGTCACCAAGTTTTCTAGTTATCACCACACGTTGCAATAGTCACCAAGTTTTCTAGTTGTCACCACACGTTGCAATAGTCACCAAGTTTTCTAGTTGTTACCACACGTTGCAACAGTCACCAGTTGTCACCACACGTTGCAACAGTCACCAAGTTTTCTAGTTGTTACCACACGTTGCAACAGTCACCAGTTGTCACCACACGTTGCAACAGTCACCAAGTTTTCTAGTTGTCACCACACTTTGCAATAGTCACCAGTTGTCACCACACGTTGCAACAGTCACCAAGTTTTCTAGTTGTCACCACACGTTGCAACAGTCACCAAGTTTTCCAGTTGTCACCACACGTTGCAACAGTCACCAAGTTTTCTAGTTGTCACCACACGTTGCAACAGTCACCAAGTTTTCTAGTTGTCACCACACGTTGCAACAGTCACCAAGTTTTCTAGTTGTCACCACACGTTGCAACAGTCACCAAGTTTTCTAGTTATCACCACACGTTGCAATAGTCACCAAGTTTTCTAGTTGTCACCACACGTTGCAATAGTCACCAAGTTTTCTAGTTGTCACCACACTTTGCAACAGTCACCAGTTGTCACCACACTTTGCAATAGTCACCAGTTGTCACCACACGTTGCAATAGTCACCAAGTTTTCTAGTTGTCACCACACTTTGCAACAGTCACCAGTTGTCACCACACTTTGCAATAGTCACCAGTTGTCACCACACGTTGCAATAGTCACCAAGTTTTCTAGTTGTCACCACACTTTGCAACAGTCACCAGTTGTCACCACACTTTGCAACAGTCACCAAGTTTTCTAGTTGTCACCACACTTTGCAACAGTCACCAGTTGTCACCACACTTTGCAACAGTCACCAAGTTTTCCAGTTGTCACCACACTTTGCAACAGTCACCAGTTGTCACCACACTTTGCAACAGTCACCAAGTTTTCCAGTTGTCACCACACTTTGCAACAGTCACCAAGTTTTCCAGTTGTCACCACACTTTGCAACAGTCACCAGTTGTCACCACACTTTGCAACAGTCACCAAGTTTTCCAGTTGTCACCACACTTTGCAACAGTCACCAAGTTTTCTAGTTGTCACCACACTTTGCAACAGTCACCAAGTTTTCTAGTTGTCACCACACGTTGCAACAGTCACCAAGTTTTCTAGTTGTCACCACACTTTGCAACAGTCACCAGTTGTCACCACACGTTGCAACAGTCACCAAGTTTTCTAGTTGTCACCACACGTTGCAACAGTCACCAGTTGTCACCACACTTTGCAACAGTCACCAGTTGTCACCACACTTTGCAACAGTCACCAAGTTTTCTAGTTGTCACCACACTTTGCAACAGTCACCAGTTGTCACCACACTTTGCAACAGTCACCAAGTTTTCTAGTTGTCACCACACTTTGCAACAGTCACCAGTTGTCACCACACGTTGCAACAGTCACCAAGTTTTCTAGTTGTCACCACACGTTGCAACAGTCACCAAGTTTTCTAGTTGTCACCACACGTTGCAACAGTCACCAGTTGTCACCACACTTTGCAACAGTCACCAGTTGTCACCACACTTTGCAACAGTCACCAAGTTTTCTAGTTGTCACCACACTTTGCAACAGTCACCAGTTGTCACCACACGTTGCAACAGTCACCAAGTTTTCTAGTTGTCACCACACGTTGCAACAGTCACCAGTTGTCACCACACTTTGCAACAGTCACCAGTTGTCACCACACTTTGCAACAGTCACCAAGTTTTCTAGTTGTCACCACACTTTGCAACAGTCACCAAGTTTTCTAGTTGTCACCACACGTTGCAACAGTCACCAAGTTTTCTAGTTGTCACCACACTTTGCAACAGTCACCAGTTGTCACCACACTTTGCAACAGTCACCAAGTTTTCTAGTTGTCACCACACGTTGCAACAGTCACCAAGTTTTCTAGTTGTCACCACACGTTGCAACAGTCACCAAGTTTTCTAGTTGTCACCACACTTTGCAACAGTCACCAGTTGTCACCACACGTTGCAACAGTCACCAAGTTTTCTAGTTGTCACCACACGTTGCAACAGTCACCAAGTTTTCTAGTTGTCACCACACGTTGCAACAGTCACCAAGTTTTCTAGTTATCACCACACGTTGCAACAGTCACCAAGTTTTCCAGTTGTCACCACACTTTGCAACAGTCACCAAGTTTTCTAGTTGTCACCACACTTTGCAACAGTCACCAAGTTTTCTAGTTGTCACCACACTTTGCAACAGTCACCAGTTGTCACCACACGTTGCAATAGTCACCAAGTTTTCTAGTTGTCACCACACTTTGCAACAGTCACCAGTTGTCACCACACTTTGCAATAGTCACCAGTTGTCACCACACGTTGCAATAGTCACCAAGTTTTCTAGTTGTCACCACACTTTGCAACAGTCACCAGTTGTCACCACACTTTGCAATAGTCACCAGTTGTCACCACACGTTGCAATAGTCACCAAGTTTTCTAGTTGTCACCACACTTTGCAACAGTCACCAGTTGTCACCACACTTTGCAACAGTCACCAAGTTTTCCAGTTGTCACCACACTTTGCAACAGTCACCAAGTTTTCCAGTTGTCACCACACTTTGCAACAGTCACCAAGTTTTCCAGTTGTCACCACACTTTGCAACAGTCACCAAGTTTTCTAGTTGTCACCACACTTTGCAACAGTCACCAGTTGTCACCACACTTTGCAACAGTCACCAAGTTTTCCAGTTGTCACCACACTTTGCAACAGTCACCAAGTTTTCTAGTTGTCACCACACTTTGCAACAGTCACCAGTTGTCACCACACTTTGCAACAGTCACCAGTTGTCACCACACTTTGCAACAGTCACCAAGTTTTCTAGTTGTCACCACACGTTGCAACAGTCACCAAGTTTTCTAGTTGTCACCACACTTTGCAACAGTCACCAAGTTTTCCAGCTGTCACCACACTTTGCAAGTCATCAAGTTTTCCAGCTGTCACCACACTTTGCAAGTCACCATGTTTTCCAGCTGTCACCACACTTTGCAAGTCACCAAGTTTTCCAGCTGTCACCACACTTTGCAAGTCACCAAGTTTTCCAGCTGTCACCAGGTTTTTTCCGCTGTATCACCTCATAAAATACTAAAATTTCCAGTAACAGGAAAACAAAAAATAAGAGTAAAGCAAAGAAACAAAAATAACCAACTCTCTTCTAGTTTTCTCCACGTCTGCTTTGGACTTGAGGTGGCCGCCATCAAACACCAGAATTGGTTTGAGATTCTTCCGCAGCATGTACTCAACATACTTCATACAGTAGAAGACATATCTGGGGATATCAAGTGGCTGCAGTAAAGCTGTCAAAGTCGTTGAAAAAAAACAAAAAACTACGAAAGAGATTATCTACAGGACAGCCTGCAACAAACAAAGGATGTTGGGGCAATTACTCTTTATCAGCAAAACAATGATGAGGAACAAAACGCAACACTAAAACTTAAATGATCTTCAAAAAAAGGTTATGAAAACAAACAGAGCAAATTTAATATCTCATCAAGCGACCAAGCACGCCCTGGCTCGGCTGCCGATCGCCCGAAGATCTGCGGCGCCTAGCGGCATAAGCAGATATCGACAATGGAAAGAAGAAGAATGAAGCAAAAAATAATATAATAAACGATAGAATTTAATAAAGTATGTGATACTTACCTGGACTGCTCTGAATTTTGTCAAGCAAATAAAAAATGAAACAGTTTGCCTTATAGATGAACAGGGAGGTGGTTAGTGAAATCTGATGAATACACATTTGGGTACATCTCGCTCACACCCATCACCCCCACTGATCAGATTTCCCATTCATCTACAAGAGGAGCAGCTGGTAGTCTGGTACATTAATCTGGTAGTCTTAGTTTCAGCTTCATAGCAAACGGGTCACCCAATCTTTGCTCCGCTTCTGTGCCAACGAAAAACACACAGAATGTTTATCAGTCCCTTGTGGAAAGATTGACATACTGCTGTCTTAGTATATCTAGCATACACACGCATTAAAGCATACAATAGCCGTCCAAAGTGCTAACACAAACAGTCCGACATTAGAAATGCAGTTCATCATTGTAGGTAGCAGAAGTCACCAACAGATCAGCAGTTGCCCGTGCGATCAATTTTAATCACATACGGGCACTACCAACATTGCGACGACAGGCATCATGCCATTTTCTGAACCTTCAATTCACACCACCACGTTGGTCTCAGTCAAAAAAACATTCCAAATTAAATCCGCAGCTCACAGTGTCACGCCATCCATTAAACTCAGAAGCTGGGCGGCGAAACTATATCCAGTCTACAAATGGAGCAAAAATGCATCGTCTACCGTCCGGCAGAAGCAAAAAATTTGCCTCGGCTCCAAACAGTGCCCCTGCCTAGCGTCCATTTTGACCGGAAGCTGTTTCACTAAAGCACTCTAATGGAAGAGACTGCCAGTGTCACACCATCTTTCATTAATTGCCTCTTATGACATGCACGTTTACTACTTTCTGCTTCCTTAATGTACGCCAATAAAAAATTGTGGCCTAATTTAGATTATTTGGCCTGTAACCAATCATTTATTCAGTTATTGCAGCAAACACTGAAAACCTTAAACAACTTACTGATCTGTTTTTTCTCCGACAGCCAACTTTTCAGCGCAGGAAAACGCTCCCCTGTGCAACCAACAGTATGCATCAATGGCCACAGTAGAGCCGGGAAAATCTGCGATGTTCACTGGCGTATGGATGGCTTTGAGAAATGGCAACAGACCCTGAATTCCCATGTTTCAAACAAGATGTGCTTGTCACCTGATAAATGTCAGATACAGGAAATTTCAATCCATACCACAACAGAAAATATCATGAATTCATTATTCCCATCCCAAATCTGGAGGCTGGGGTACTCTATGATCTTATCTCTTCAGTACTTCCTCTTCTACCTTTGGATGCTTAGTTTTTCCTCAATTTATATCTCTGAAGGTTACCTACTGACTAGTCATTCTTCATGTTAGTACTCAAGGGCTGTGAACTTCGGCAGAAAGTTGTTGTTCATCCACTTTTGGACTTTGGTCTTGTTCCAGAGCATGAGTTTTGTCTGCGTATGTTTTACAGATATGGCTTACTTGTCTCTCAAGCAATGGCACTCCAACTTCGAAGGAAAAACCCTTCATTAGTGGCCTTTTACAAAAAGCTTGTTTATTAGACGGTCAGTCTATTCTTTCTCCTCTCAAATAATGGCCCTAGAATTCACAAAATAGTGCTGTTCATTGAGGTAGTGGGTTTGATCCTTGCTAAAGATGTATTTTATCGCCAGAACTGTTTAAGGGACAATAATCAAAACAAACTGGCATTGAATAAAATTTTTAAAGAATGTTTTAGACAATTAGCTCAAAAAGAAAGTGGTAAGGAAGGGAACTGATGGTCTCATCATAAAGTAATATAGTACATGCAAAGCCTGGACATTTCTGATTGTATCGAGTCTCAAATCACTTCCACTGTCCCAGCGCAGATGTCTGGCAGTCCCACGTAACCCACTGAAACATAATCTGTAATCCAACTTTTCATCACTGCTTTTCTTAGGATAACAATGACCTCAGAAACAAAGATGAGAGAAGCACATAGTTAGCCAGTCAACTCAAGCCAATTTTTCGTTGCGGCTGTCTCTACAGCCTCAATGAAGCCCAACCTGTATTCTTTGGTTTTGTTTTCTGCATCGTATATCCTGTTGTTTGTTACTGTTTATTTGTTGTTGTTTTTAAAATAGTTAACAGTAAAGGACCATTCTCCACGCCCTTAGGTATATTATATATATATATATATATATATATATATATATATATATATATATATATATATATATATATATATATATATATATATATATATATATATATTTTATAGACCAATCGGCACTTTGTGGGTGATGTGGTTAGCACTATGCCGGTCGCCTTTACTTCCCAGGCCTGTACCTGGTACCCATTCAAGGCTGGGTCGACCTGGGGGTCAAGGTCATTTTTGAAACCGTCCAGCTTCATCAGGACCTGAACCCACGACCTTACAATCTGTTGGCGAGCCTCTAGCCGCTACACCCCAGCCTCCGGCCGCTACACCCCGGTTTCTGGCCGCTACACCCCGGCCTCTAGCTGCTACAGCCCGGCTGCTCCCTGTTGTTGTTTCTAACAATGATTAAATACTGGAAACATCAGACATTTCTAATGTTTCAAATATTTGGATGTTGTGTACACCTCTACCTCGGTGTGTACTTGTGAGGTGTGTACTTGTGAGGTGTGTACCTGTGAGGTGTGTACTTGTGAGGTGTGTACCTATGAGGTGTGGACTTGTGAGGTGTGGACCTGTGAGGTGTGGACCTGTGAGGTGTGTACTTGTGAGGTGTGGACCTGTGAGGTGTGTAACTGTGAGGTGTGTACTTGTGAGGTGTGTACCTGTGAGGTCTGTACCTGTGAGGTCTGTACCTGTGAGGTGTGTACTTGTACATGATGTAATTGTGAGGTATAAGGGTGCCACCACAAAGAAATCTTAAAGATTGGAGGCCCGAAGGGGGTGGGGAGAACCCTTAGCTTCTTAGACTGATATTACTTATAGTGTTCTTGGGATCTAGTCTTGTTTTATGTTTAATTCTTTTAGTCCCAGGGGTTTAGTATCAAAGGCACAAGGGAAATGTAAAATCTGTACATCTTGTGTTCAGTGGATTTCTAGGCAGGAACCTATGAACGTATTCCTTGGGACTAAATCGTTAACTGTGCAATAATTATCTTTTTTTTTTAAAATTATTATGTGCAGAATAGCAAATAAATATGCATTTAAAATGTATACTTATAAGTCATTAGCTACAAGCAAATACTTGAAAGGAGAACATCTAGACATGGTTGGGATGGATCTGGGAAAGGAGGAGGGGGGGGGAGCACTTTCACGAGTTTCTTTGCAAAGTTTCTAAATGATCTGAGGAACCCCGCCAACCCTCCCCTTTTCTCTTAACTCCAAAAATGCAGAAACAGAAAGGCACTCAAGTTGTGTCTGGGCTCCAGGTTCCCGCTCCCACGGTGAGGTGTGTAAATTGTAAATTGTGGCGCGTGTACTTAGTGTTTATATTTTTGAGGTGCTTTAACATTTGTTGACTGATGTTTGAATGTGTCTCTTGTCTTGCGGGATCCAACCGCAACACACAGACAATCACAAACGATTCAGTTTCAGTAAAAAGGTAAAGAGTAAAGAGGTAAACTTAGTAGTCGGGGGATGTGAACCATCGTCATTGTATACGGTTATAAACCATAAGTGTTCTGCCACCATTACAGGCAGCTGATAAGAATTATCCGCCTGTGTCGCCGTTCGCACGTAACTCTGTAGCTACAGCGACGTTCCTCAATTTTCCCCAGAGTGTTAGCTCTGGTACCCATCCTAGAGGCTGGGTGAACCCTAGGAACCGCCCGGTTCAGAATGATTGATGATGTGCATGATCTATAAAACATCTACAAGGCGACCGAACTATAACTTGCTACACTAATCTTACTGAACCCGTACTTACAGCTAATTTGCTCTCCTAATTGCCGGTATCAAGAAAAAGATCGAAGACAAAACTATCCAACAACAACAATTCCACAACGGACGGATGGCGGCGGGAATCTTGTAATGTTCACATCCGGCCGGGCCTCGTCGTGCCGGGCTTTCGCTCTTTTATTTATCTAACATTGTAGTACAGGGAGTCTGTTTTGTGGCAAAGTCTATGTGAACGCTTCGTAATGCCGAGATGCCAGGTTCGATCACAGCTGCGGGCCATGCGCCTTGCGTTGGTTTCGACAGTGGTATCGAGAAAGCCGACCGTCCAGAAGCAATGGCAAACTCATCATCATCATGTAGCAGGTCCTTTGCAGAAAGTCGCTCTCATCACAGTTTGCCTGAAAGAAACTCAGTCTCTCGCCAATTCTCCCGCCTCATTAACTTTCACACTCAAGGAGTCACTTATATCCTGTGCCCATCTTCGAATGGTAAACTACTGGACGCAAATTTGCCTAGAAAACCCCCGCAACAGCCAGGAGCTGTTGGGGTTGGTTCTGCAACGTCCTGTAAAGGATACGCAACAGTACAGGGACTTTAAACTAAGTTTATTCAGGAGCTAAAATCTTCAAAAGTTGGGATTGTCATGGACTCAAGGCTCATGCCACAGCAAAGAAAGATCACTAATACCGAACGTAGCATTGACAGGTTATCCGTGGCCCACTTGCTACAACTCTGCTGTGTGTGTGTGTATGTATGTCTGCATATGTGATTGCGTGCCTGTGGGTGTGTGTGCCTGTGTATATGTATGTCTGCATATGTCTTTGCGTTTGTGTGTCTGAATGTCTGCGTATGCTTCTGCGTGTGTATGTTTGTGGTTGTGTGTCTGTGTGTGTATGTGTCTGCGTGAGCGTCTGCGATTGTGTGTGTGTTTGTGTGTCTCCGAGTGTGTCTGTGTGCGTCTGTTTGTGTTTGTGCATATGTGTGTGTCCGCGTGTGTGAGTCTGCATGTGTGTGTATGCGGGTTTGTGTGTGTGTGTGTCGCATGTGTATTTCTGTGTGTGAGTGATTGGGTCAGTGGGCGTATGTCTGTTTGTGTGTGTGTCTGCATTTGTTTCTATGGGTGTGTCTGTATGTGCGTGTGTATATCTGTTTGTATGTATGTGTGTGGAATGTACGTGTTTGTGTGGGTAGGTAGGTATGTATGTGGGTAAATAGGAGTGTGTTTATGTGTGTGTGTGTGTGTGTGTAAAGGTATATGAGTGTGTTTAAGTGAGTGCATGTTTGTGTGTGCATGCATTTTACCACCCATGCTTTTGTGTTTGTTTATTTTATTTTTATATTCACAATATGCACATTATCATATGAATAAAACATGCTTGTTGATAAAATACAGCTGCAAAGTGAAAGACGGTTGTTTGGAAGGGCCGAATGTAAGACGGGTCTGCGTGCCTAGTTTGTGACCCTTTGAATATAAAGTTCGTTCGTTCGGACCAGATTTGACAGGGCTACCAGTTAATTATGTGATCATATTCGACGTCACTGCACACCAGGCACTCCCTCGGATCTCAGCACGGACGCACGAACTCCTTAGCTCCGGCGAAAGTTAAATAGCTCTTTGTAGTAATTTCCAGTACTAAACTACATCGAGAGACTACAGATCCGACGATTTTGAAACGTGTCAAGACTGGACCACAGAGAGCCTTGTCACTTAGGGCACAATGGAAGCAAAGTCAGAGGCCGACCGCGGAGGCGGTGGATAGATGGAATATCCTGTGCCGTAAATAGCAGCATTTACTTAACAAATACCAAGGCTCGCACCCGATGCCTCTTCAAAACTTTTCACTGAAAGGCAGGCCACAACTAAAGAAGAAGAAGAAGAAGAAGAAGAAGAAGAAGAAGAAGAAGAAGAAGAAGAAGAAGAAGAAGAAGAAGAAGAAGAAGAAGAAGAAGAAGAAGAAGAAGAAGAAGAAGAAGAAGAAGAAGAAGAAGAAGAAGAAGAAAAAGAAGAAGAAGAAGAAGAAGAAGAAGAAGAAGAAGAAGAAGAAGAAGAAGAAGAAGAAGAAGAAGAAGAAGAAGAAGAAGAAGGAGGGGGATGAGATGAAGAAGCAGCAGCAGCAGCAGCAGCAGCATCAGCAGCAGCAGAAGAAGAAGAAGAAGAAGAAGAAGAAGAAGAAGAAGAAGAAGAAGAAGAAGAAGAAGAAGAAGAAGAAGAAGAAGAAGAAGAAGAAGAAGAAGAAGAAGAAGAAGAAGAAGAAGAAGATGTAAAGAG